GTTGGGGGCAGCAGTTTTATAAGAAGATCCTCAGTGAGTCAGAGGTCAATGACTTTAAAATGCTTTGCCAAACTTTCCTACAGCCCTTAATTTAATTACTTCATTCCAAGGTCTCAAATGACTCAATCAATTTGGTGGGGGAGGAGCCCATTTCTCTCCATGAGCACGTGAAATCCAATGGCTTTTCCATTCTGTGGCTGGAGGGTTTCAGCTCAATTTTGGCAGACTGATGTAAACAACATGTTCAAAGAATTTTAACTGCCATCTCATTAATGAAGTCCCATTAACATCCCTCCCCACCAGCTCTGCTGATAGCCCAGTGCATGGCCAAATAACAATAACCTGGGCCCTGGCCTCTGAGGTTAAAAATTAAGCAGTCCTTGGAAACAACAATAATGATATATAAGAAATAGGCTGCATAAGATACTAGGGTCCCTTTCCCAGCTACCAGCTACACAGGAGGACTAGGAGAGTGTCACTTGGGAGCAGGAATCTGAACAGGCAGCCTCTAAATGTGGACCCCACTCTTTTCCACCACAGAACAAATATCATAGTAAAAACCTAGGGGTATTTCTCTAAGAGGGAAACCAGATTTACAGGAAGCAGAAGGGACTTCAGGAGTCAGGGACCCAAACAGCCTCCTAGAGAAAGGAAGGTGCTCCAGCCCCCTCCCAAAGTCCTGCTCTCACCAGGGAGGCTGAAGACGTCTCAGAAAGCCAGAACTGGCCTTAAAAATAAGGTTCCTTTGTTTTACTGAGAGAGAAATTTGGCAATACCTATAAATTCATTCATTTATGTGGTGCCAGGGATGGAACCCAGGGTGCTGTGCATGCCAGCTAAGTGTTTTACACTGAATACATCCCCAACTCCATCAGAATGTTTAAAAATGCACATTCTCTTTGGTCCAACAATTAATATTATCAAAGCGGCATCCCTAAAGGAGTACTAGCAAATATATTCCAAATTATCATTAGAATTCTCACTGAAGCATTTTCTATAAGAAAAAATTGAAAACATTAGTGTCCATCGACAGAGGACTAGTTAAATAAATTATACTTCATCCACATGATACAGCAGATAAAAAATTATAATAAGATTCAGCCATCCACAAGGATCTGGAAACAATTCCAAGACTTTGTTTTTAGTCAAACAAAAACACAATGAGTACAGAATGATTCTATTTATGTCAGTTAAAAAAAATCATAATATACAAATTTTATATGGCTACCTAATATATTCCCTTTGTCCTCTTCAAAGAGAGGGCCTAGAAGATGGACTTTGCTCTTTTATGTATGTACTGTTTGTACAAGTGTAAGTTGCTTTTACTGACTAGATTCTCTAAAGTTTTAAAACAATGGTAAAGAAATGTATCTGCCAACATGGGTAACGGCTAAGGATTTTTTTTAAGCTGGAAAACACACATATACAATGAGAAAGATCCAGAAGGCCTCAGAAAGATATACATCAAGGTGTTGGCCGTGGTTCTCTTTGGGTAGATGGAGGTGCTTTTCATGTTCTTTTTTGCCTATCCACTTTTTTCTGTACTGATCAGGGATGGGTTTTGTATTTAAGTAGAATAGCAGCAATAATAACAGAAAAAGAAATCTTTCACTGGAAAAGGAACAGGCAGACAAGTGAAGGCACAGCCCAGCTGGCCAGAGCCTGGGGAGGATGAGGAAGCAGTAAGGACATATTTGCCTGGGGCATCTGGAGAAAAAGAAACTAAAGGCAGAAATCCTTGGAAATGATCCTCCATCCCCAAATTGTGTGTGGCTTGCAGCACTAGTGGAGGTAGCTCAAGGACTCCTGCTTTCTAGCCTAGACTCGGCTTTGAGACTCTCAGTGCAAACGAGGAGGCTGGCAGGAGGACTGCAGAGCCCAGCCCAGGGTGTCTGCTCGGCCTCTCCTCCTTGCCCCTATCTCCAAACCATCCTAGAAACAGGACAGAATGGACTACACCCATCATAGAGGAGAAAAGGAGCCCAGGGTCAATTAGCTCCAAAGCATTAGATGGTCGCCTTACAATCTGTTGGCTTGAAACACCTAACAAAAGTCAGGGCCCAGGAGACCAGTGATCACTGGGCAGAACAACACTGTCTCTTGTGGGTGCCTACCTTTATGAAGGGACAAAGCAGCCAGTCCCTCTCAAGAAGCAGCAATGGTAAACAGCACCAGGCCCCAGTTAAACACCAGTGTGCAAGACCAAGAAAACAAAGCAGAGCCACATCACTGCAAGGGGTAGGCACACATAACACATTCTACTTTCTTTTTAGACACTACAGGCTTCCTGCCCTTCACTTCTAATTTCTTCTCATCATTGTCTTAACTTCTGCACCATCCCATTACATAACCTCCTTCGTGTGCACAGCTGAGGGCTGCAAAGAAAGCCATCTGGGAGATGGTCATGGGCCTGTACACAGGGAGGAAGCCCTCAGCCTGAGGATGATAATGACTGAGCCAGGGAAAGTGAGACGGCTCCCTCCTGCAGTGAGGCAACAGGCAACATGTGTGGGGAGGAAACAGCCCAACCAGGAAGACAAGGAGACGCCCACATGATGCTTCCCTACTCCAAAATGACTAGACACCCTGTGTCTAGCAGACAGCTGGGTGTCTGTCTACGCTGTCTGTCCTTGGAATCTGGTGAGTACATGGCACAGGTTTCCAGGCACACACTTCTAATGGAAAATGCCATCTCCAGCCACCTGCACTCCTCACTCATTGACTCACAAGGTCTCTTACGTCCAAATGGGGCCTGGAAACTGTAGACAGTGGTAGTACAAATGTCAGCTCTGGAGTAACTGTCTGGGTTTGAATTCCACTTCTGTCCCTGCTAGCTCTATGGCTTCATGTTATTTTACCTCTCTGTGGTTTCCTCAGCTGTTCTGTGAATTAAACAAAGTAATGCCCATAAAATGCTTCACACAGGATGTGACCCAAAGCGAGAGCTCATCAAATGCTAGCTAAAGAGAATCCATCAGGGTATCTGCACATGCATATGCACCCTCAATGCTGCCTGAACCCAAACACTATGACAGCATCAGCACCAGGAAACACAATGATGGTGGACATGGTCCTAACTGCATCCTCCCCTCTCTCCCACAGATGCATTTGCACCACCAGATAGAAAAAAAGGGCAAAGGGAGAACATAGATGTTGAAAGAGGGGAAAAGCCAAGCCACATGAGCCTGGGAGCCTTTGTTAAAGGTTAGAGTTCACCACATTCGCTAAACCTCAGACAATCCTATCAGCCAACTACAGAAGGATGGAACATGTACTGCATGTGCACGGATCCATGCACACACTGGGCAGAAGGAAAGGGCTGGTGAGGGAGACAAAGGAGGAGCCACAGAATTCCTGGCACCTAAGCACTCCTTCTTTGCCACCACACAAGCAAACAGCTGTGGCCAAGCTCTCAACTCCTGCTGGAGAAAAGTCAGAGCATATCCATCAAGAAAGTGGCCTCTGCAGAGGTTGAGCTGGGGAACCATTACTCTGAAGAGAAAGGGGGACCTAAGAAAAGGCAGAAGTCTGGTGGGGAAATGCAAGGGAAAGGACAGCACAAGAGGGACAGCAGAGGAACAGGAGAGTCAAGGTTCAGACTAGCAAGAGGCAACAGGATTCAGAAGTGAGGCTACTAGGGAATGTCCTTACAAATGTCATAACCACCAAGCCCATCTTAACAACCAGTCCTATCTGTGCCCTCACAGACTCAGGGCAAAATGAGAATCTGTGCAGTCTCCTGGAGTCAGGGGTTTGGTGAGAAAACAAGAGGATGCCGAGAGACACAGCACACACTAATTACCTCATGAACCACAGGGAGCTACAGGTGGGCATCCAGCTGGTCCTCAGCTCCCTGCCACACACTGCTGGACAGGAGGCATAGAACAGAGTTTGTCTGGGGAGTGGGTAAAATGAACCTTTTTATTGCAAGGACAGGAGGCAGCCAAAAGTGAATCTATCAAAAAAATGTGGGGACCTGTTTCCCAGGTCCCTTATGATCTTTCCTTTAGCTTAAAAAAAAAAAATGGTAATGAAAGATTTCTGTCCTGCTAAACATGGTGGGCTGAATTTTCAGTTCATCTCTATTCCCTCCAGGGTCCCATTAAAATAACGGAATGACAAGCTCTAGCAGGGAGAATGTCTCCCAGAAAACTAAAATGGAATCAACACATTATCAGATTGAGGATTGTTCAGTTGTATCTGACAAAAACTAGATAGAGGTTGTAGCACTGACATGCACAAGAAAAACACAATTACTAGCTTCCTGTCTAATTTGAAGGAAAATAAAGAATTTTCTGATTAAAAATTAATACATGACTTGGTTCATTTGTGGGAATGACTGTCAAATAATGAAGAGCAGGTGAGTGTGTGGACAAGGATAAGGTTTAGAAAGCCCAGTGGGATTTTTGTGCAGAAGTCAACACATAATTTCTAAAGTCAACAAACCAAAAATTAATGGTAGGAACAAACTGCTTAGATCAATGGAGGTAGATAGCAGATGAAGCAGGTTTTAGCTGAGTCAGAACCTGCATTTTAGTTGTTAGGACTGAAAGTGAGTAGCCTAGAAAGCAAGACAGTGTGGAAAGGAAGAGCAGGGGATGTGTTTATCAATAGAAGGCTAGCAACAAACAGTATCTGACTTTTAACTTCATGTTTACAGAACATGCAGTAAAATTAAAATCATGACCAAAATTAAAATCGTCTTCAATAACAACAAAAGATCTCTTTCAACACTTAGCTCAATTTATTGTGCCCCAAAGACTTCTCAGATCTCCTTCCTCTACTATACCACCCATCTAGCAATTAATCATATTCCACTTGGCAATGAGCTAAATGCACCTATTGCTAATTACCTTCCCACCTGTGCTTTGTCTCCTAACTAAATCAGAGCTGCTTCACAGCAGAGACCACTTCTCATAATCTTTGAGGAGTCCACGGCAGGCCAGGAGATTAAATCCACAAGCCCACAGAGGAGGTGCAGTGTTCCAGTTCCCGGTTACCTGCATAGGCATTGGCCTGCTGCAGAAGGTCGGTGCAGGTGTGCACATCTGCAAATGCACGGATGCCCAGGCAATTGGTGGGATGCAACTGAGACTGCAGGAAGTCACAGCAGTTCTGCCGAACATCCATGAGCTGCAGCAAGCTGGCTGCTGGGAGCAGCACCTACAAGAGAAGGTGATATTCTAAGACATTATATCCCACTGGCAGGAACTATTCCAATCATGTTCCCAAGCTCAAGATCTATTCATGGCTCGACACTGCCTATTAGGTCCAAACTTCCCAGCATTATTTCCCACTGCTCTCTTCATTTCATCAACCCAAAGCACCAGGGGATTCTCTATCCCCAAGACACACTGCAGTGGGATCTTATTCGGATCAGATTCTGACTCAGTAGGTCTAGAGTGGGACCTAAGAGCTCATATTTCTAACAGAAACCCAGGTAATGCTTGTAGCTACTGGTTCATGAATCATGCTTAAAGTAATAAAGCCACACGTGACACACACACAGTATGGCACTTGTTCTCAGATAAATCTTGGAATTAAGACTGAGTCAACAAATCATCCTGACTTTCCTGGTACCTTGCCAGTTTTAGCACAAGTCACACATCCCAGGAGATTCCTCAGTTGTAGTCAAACTGTAACACTGGAGTTTAATACTCATGTGTAGATGTCACTTCCAAAGATTCCAACTTATAGGCATTGGGTATGGCCTGGGCATTGAGATGTTGCTAAAGCTCTCCAGGAGCTTCTAACGGACAGCCAAGTGTGAGAACCATTGCCCTACGCATTCAGAAAGGACTTGAGCTGCTCGCTAGCTCTCTCACTACTTAGCTGCTGAGCCTCTGTGTGCTGTGCACTGGTCTAGGCTCTAAAGTTCCATGGTAAACAAAACAAACCAGATCCTACTGTCATGGAGCTTATATCTACTGGAATAAGAGGCTCACCCCCAAATCCCTCAGGACTCAGGCATATTTATCCTCCTATCCAGCAGATAGAATGTGAAGTCTATCTCTGGATACATTCTTAGAGAGCGAGTTTTCTTTCAAAAGGTCACAAGACATATGAATATTTACACCGCATCCTGCAAGACAGAAGCAGTTCTTGCTCAGGTGTATGTGCATGTGTTTTTCCGAGCAGTCAGGGAAGACTGGCTGGAACAGGCTCAGACTGCCAGCCTCAGTCAAGCTTCCCTAGGATTTCCCTACAGCTGCTGAAGTCTGCCCTCTGGATCAAAATAAGGATGAAGGCCAAAGTCCTACTCCATCTAGCTCTGCTCCCCTGGCCTACCCCCCATCAGAGGAACATATATGATTTCTAAAAAGAAATTTAGAAAAAAAATTATGGAGCAGAATAATTTGATGGCTGCTTAGTTTATGGACCCCTCCTCTTACCCCCAGCATCCACTCACACTAAAACAATCCCCTCGTCCTAGGCCCTTGCTCTCAGAGTGACTGAGAGCAGCCAGACTCCAGCTGTTCCCATCCACAAGGCTTGCCCAGAAAGACACAGTCTGCAGATCATTTGCTCTTTACTCTGGGCACCATGAAAGTCTTTAAATGATTTAGATTCTGGACCCTGACTTTCTCCCAAAACAGCTCTGTGCCCTCAGCTCTGATTCTCATTACCTATAAGTGCACACGTAATGCCCCCACTCTTAGGACTTGTCCCTTCATGAGGGTAATCAATTGTCCTGGTTTTCCCAGGACTGCAGGGTTTCCCAAGACTCTCAGTGCTAAAACTGGGAGAATCAGTCCCCCTTTATCATCCCTGCCCATGTGAGTAATCACCAAGGCCCCCACTACCAGTGTCTACTGTCAACAAGGAAGGCTCTGCCTCCTAACAGCTAAAAGTCCCCCTCACCACAGCTGAGTTTGAGAAAACCTGCTCCTTCTCCCCTCCTCCACTTGCCTATGTCCCCAGTGGAAAGCAATAAATTAGCTCCATGTCCTTGGTATTTTGTGGCCCACTGATTAATTCCTGGGGAAGAAAAAAAGATAAAAATCACCATAGCGGGAGAGTTTCAGACATAAGTGAACACAGCCAGGATCCAAATCTAACCACTTCCCCCACCTCTATCCCCAGTAGGCAGTCACCAGCCCCCCAAGCAGCCATAAACTAGGAAACTCAATTAACCTGTGAGCTTGCTCAGCCTGGATTGAGCTTGATCCCAAGACCAGATTAGTCTCTGCCTGCTGGTTAAATGGAGATCTATTAACCATTCTTGCCGAATACATACCAGAAATGGAAAGCCCTGTTCCAAGTTCCCAGATGACCTCCATGGCACACCCTGACCAAGTACCAGTGACAAAGCCTACAGTTAAGACTGTAGGTCAACAAGTCATCATCCTGACTTTCCTGGGGCCTTGCCAGTTTTAACACAAGTCACACGTCTCAGGAGATGGCTCAGTTGTAGTCAAACTGCAACACTTGCCTGTCCTAGGCTGGGGTAACCAGGAAGTCCAAGGATACCTGAGAGTCCAGTCTACCCCCAGAGTCATGCACTCCCTGACAAGTCCCAGCAAGATCAAGCCAGCAACACACTCCCTCCCCTTTCTCTTCTTCTTCACCAGGAACACAGTAGCTTGAGGTGCTCAAATTCTCAGGTTGTCATGAGACAACCAGCCTGAGAAATATAATAATAAATATTTCCTGAACACACTCCTTAGGTTACACTTTCAGGTTTGTTTGTTTTTTGTGTTTTTTTTTTTTTGTTGTTGTTGTTGTTGTTGTTTTAAGAGAGAGAGAGAGGAGAATTTTTAAATATTTATTTTTTAGTTTTCAGTGGACACAACATCTTTATTTTATTTTTATGTGGTGCTGAGGATCGAACCCAGTGCCCCACACATGCCAGGCGAGCACGCTACTGCTTGAGCCACATCCCCAGCCCCTACACTTTCAGTTTTTAAAACATCCCTGGATACAGCTACCCACATAGCTTTCATCTTCCTTTCTGGTCACAAAACCCACTTACTGGGCAAAAATTATGAGGCTTCCCACCTCTCCATAACACCCATCATGTTGGGTCCGCTCTCTCCAAAAGCATTCCTGAACAGGCTTCCTAAAATGAACAGGGCTTGTGGCTTCTCTGATTGCTCAAATCCCTCTCTTTGATCTTTCACTGCGATCAGCGGTGAGTCAAAGGCCCTTTTCTTTCTTCACTTCATACAAGAGGGCATGAAGAAAAGTCAAGAAAGTCAGAATGCTGAGGGGGATGATTCGGAGGCCAGGAGGTTCACCACTGCATCTTGAGGGTACAGTGGGGCCCAATTAGACAGAGCTCTGGGGTCTGGGCACAAACGCAAGGCAAATCGCCACCTAGCAAAATATCCATGAGGTGACTCTCGAGTTCCCTGCTTTGACATCAGGTGGCTTCCAGAGGATTTCCTCTTCTCTTGTCAAACACTTCTTCCTCAAGTGACAGCAGGAACAAGGTCATGAACATGAGACCAGCTCAGGCACTCAGCTTGGAGTGAGACTGCCCTGGTGGCATCACTAGTCAGTACTTCCTCTTCCTAGGGAGAGGAAGCTGGAACCACCCATAAAGATGGAGGAGTACCCCAAGTCAAAATGTTCCTTGCTCGCCTATTGCTGCCTCTGCATTATGTCTGGGAGGACGGGCACTTGAGTCGCCCTCAGCAAAGAGCCTTTGGGTTCCCCTTCAGCCTGCAAATGGTCAACCCTCCATTTTTCACGTGCAGGCCCAGTTTTGTTTTTTCTCTCCCTCGGATAACATGAAAACACAGCAGAGGATATCCCGTCACAGAGTTTGTTTCCTTTAGCAAAAACAAAAGGAAATGCCCTGCCTCAGAAAGCACCTACTGCTGTAACTACAGGGAGGCAGGGGCCAGGCACAGGGGGAGGTGACAGGGCCACCAGGGTCTCTAGGCCGGCCATGGAGTGGGCTGGCACAGAAACAGTGCTAAATTGAAACCTGTTGAGAGAAAGAAGAGAGAATGGAAGAGAGTAGGGGTGCACAGATGAACAGGACAGTGGACAGAACAGCACTGACATTACAAGGGTCACTTGGAATTTTGCCTTCTCCACTTACCAACCATGTAACTGAGGACAAATTACTTAACCTCTCTGTCTCTTCAACAGGAGAGTAAAGATAATAATGGTACTGCTTTAAATGCTTGTGAGGATCAAATGAGGCAATTCATTTAAACAGTGAACATAGTGCTTGGTACAAAGACAGTGCTCAGTTATCAGCTTTTATTATGATTAATCATTATGAGCAGAAGCCAAGGTTCATTCATTTAGCAAAGATGTAAGCTCACCACAGCTGCAGAACATAGTAGGAGAGAGCCAGGTTCAGCTCCCCACTGCACCACTTATTCCCTCTGTGACTGTAGCAGGTCACTTCCCTCTCTGTGCATCAGCTCCTTCAACTGTATAAGATGGGTCATATTAGTTGTGACTTTCATCTACCTGGCTTATAATGAATATTAATAAGCATCAGTTAGGATTGTTGTGACCTCTGCCCCAGAAAGACAACTCAAAATCTCTCCAAGAAATTTGTAGCTTGGAAGAGACAAAGTGTGGCTCCCATGGTCATTAAACCAAGACCCAAAGCTGACACAGTAAGAGCCCCTGGGACTTCATGCTCATCTCCTCAGTGCACAAATCCTCAACAAATTATGTCTCTGTAGACAATGGGTAAGCAGCTGCCTCAGCAGAAATGTAAGAGCATGATGAGGAATCTACATTTTGATCCGGACTCTCTCCTCAACCTTTCTTGTTTTGTTTTTCCTCAAGGTCATCCCTGACCTTACCATAGTTTAGAGTGAGGAAGAAAAGAAAAAGGAATAGTTTTACTATACATTGCACTGATTCCAAATGACAGTTCCCCTATAGTCCCACGTGGTGCCTCTCCACGGAGCCTTGCACATGCTGCCTCCCGCCCCACTCCACACTTATAGATGAAGACAGCAGGCCCTGGGGGTCACAGGCCAGTGGGTCACAGGTAGGTCTAGCCACTCAGGCTTCTTTCAAGATTCGGCCCAAATATTTGGTATTTCCTCAGTTAGATGTGACCTGACGGCCCTCATCAGGGCAGCAAAGACTGTCTCCTGCTTCCTGGGCAGCCCACCTTGACCCCCACCCCACCATGCTGGAGGACACCCACTGTTCAGCCATCTGTTTCCACCTGCAGCCCAGCTGCTCCTTGGGAAGCAGCCTGTCATGGCACCCTCTTTGCCCACCCTGTCTGCTAGCACAGGGCAGGAGCTCAGAAGACATGTTTTTCGAATGACTGACCAAATAAAGGAGTAAGATGAGACTCTACAACCGGCCACAAGGAAGGAGAGGGACGGACACAGCCCCTTCCCCGGTGCCTTCTACAGCATGCTTCCCCTCCACCTAACTATTTAGCAGCTCCTTTAAAGGGCCTTTGCCTCAGAGCAGCAGCTGGCAGCTGCCCTTGGCCTCTGTCCTTGCCAAGCATTCCAGGCACACCCAGAGCAGGAGGTATCCCAAACTATCCTCTGCTTGGGACAATTCCCAGCCACTTCCAGGCCAGATCAGGTTAATCCGTAACTCCCATGCCTTATCATGGTGCCTACACCCTCTCTGGCTCTTCCCTTTCAGTCCTCATCAGCCCTCAGGTAGAGGAGAAATCAGGCAAATCCTTCTACACTTACGTGACTCCATGAGCACCTCCACATTTTAGATAACAATAGCCAACATTTATTGTTTACCATGTGTCAGGCACTGTTCTAAGTGCTTTACCTACATCAATACATTTAATCCTTACACTATAATTATGCCCATATTAGAGATAAAAACACTGAGGCACTGAGAGGTTAAGCAACTTGCTAGGGCCACACAGATAGAAAATGGCAAAGCTAGGATTTGAACACAGGCAGTCTATAACTCACTGACTATTGTGATTCCTGCTCTGCAGATGAGAAAACTGAATCCGTGAGACACAGGGGGGGTACTGGAGAAGCTCTGGTAGGAGATAGGCAACATGAATGCCTTCTCTGGCCAGAGGTCACAGAGCCAGGCCCTCACTTTATAGATGAGGAAACAGACATCCTGCAGGGGGAAAGCACCTGCTACTCCAGTCCCACCTCGCCCCTATTTCCACCAGTTGTCTGAGCTCATATCTTCACTTTCCCTCCCCACAAAGTACTTTACAGAGCAGTGATGAAGCCATTTTCTCCCAAGACCTCTGGCTGGGCTGGCTGCTTCTCTATCTTAAAATACTCATTTAAGCCAATTTAGAGAGAGACAGACACCGGGTTAGATCAAAAAACATCACCTTATTACTTTACTACCAATTATTACCTCGTTACTTTTTACTTATTTATACCTTAGTTATTATTACTTATTACCTTACGACTATTATTACCTTATTGCTATTATTGCCTTATTACCTAAGCAGGCAATAACAATATAGAACAGAACGTCTTCTAATTATCCAAATTTGTAAATACTTTATACTCTACAGGGAAAAAGTTATTAAATAATGACGAATAGAGAAGAAAACAGGTTCTAATCATATAGCTCTATGACCTCCCCTCTAATCATCTGATACTAAAATTATTTTGCACTTACTGTTACTGGCCAAAACTCATTCAGCTGTCTGGACTCTCACTGAACCCAGCATATAACCACTGCACTGCCCATTCTACTCTGGACAGGAAAGACAAATAACAAAACAGAGTGGCTGTGCATTCCAGCACACATAAAATACACTTCCACTAAAAAAGGGACGGGGAGGATTAAGCCAAATGGATATAGAAATTGTTATCACCCAGAAGATGATCTCAGGGGCCAGAGACAAGGCAGGCTCTGCAAGACTCAATGCATTGCACTTCAGATGCTCTGCTGACCTTCACCCTGACCCCGGTGAGCATGCTTCATCACATGGACCTAACACCCAACTCATGCTATAGCCCCAGCTTAAAGCTTATGTCCTGAAACCAACTTTCCAAGATCCCCTCCTCCATCCAAATGCAGCTCCCTGATTCTCTCTCACTGGGACATGTTCTTTTCCTTCAAAGGACTTATCACAATTTGTGCACAGACATTATTGGTGTGCTTCATTGCTGAATGCCTTCTTCACCCTTGAACTGCAAACTCCCTAAGGGCAGGCAATAGGATCAGCCCTGTTCACTGCTGTTACCACAAGAGCTAAACAAAATGCATGGCAGATAATGGGAACTCAAACATTTGGATTGAACTGACAGAATAAACAATTTTCAATTCAGCCTCTCAAATACATAGATCTTGGAATACGGGGTGATATTCTGGAAAAGGGAAATAGGTATTTTTTATTTTTGTCACTACAGAGGTTTCAGCTTCAAGTAAATATGAAGTTTTATGCTAAAAAAAAAAAAAAAAAACAGAAAAATCTTTCCTATGAGATGGAAGATGACCTGGAGATAAGAGAGGTCACCCAAACTTCTGATTCTTCCTTCATGAGATACTGAATCAACATGAATTAAAAATTCTTCACTCCCAAAGGCTGGGATTGTGGCTCAATGTGGTTTGTAGAGTGCTTGCCTAGCACATGTGAGGCACTGGGTTCAATCCTCAGCACCACATATAAATAAATAAACAAAGGTATTGTGTCCAACTACCAAAAAAAAAAAAAAAAAAAAAAACACTTTAAAAATTCTTCACTCCCAGAGCCCAGAGTTATCCTGGCTTAGTGGTTAAGAACATGGCTGCCCATGCCAGCCAGGCAGGAGTTTAGGGGCCAGCTGGCCCACCTACTGGCCATATGACCCAGGAAGGCACCTAGTCTCTCTGCGATATTGGTTTCTTCTTCAGTGACCCCTGAGTTGTGAGGGTTAAATGAAACAATGCTAGAAAAAGGCAGGTCCCAAGCATGCAATTCACTGATAGGCTCACCTGCACATTCTCTTCGGTCACCTCAATTTCTGCAGTATAGATGTAATCAATCAGCTTCCTAAGCGTATGCCCATCCACATCCTTGATTTCAATCTTCTTGGCTTTACTCTCAGACATGTCACCTGCAGTTCACAACAAGAACAAAAAGGACACAAATCTAGCACCTATGGTATCGTTAACTTTTAAGAGGCCTCCTGCCTTGTCATGGAAATAGGAAAACAGGGCCTGAGCTCTTCGAAGCAGAAGGAACTGAGGCAGAGATTGTAAGCCACTGATGGGAAGGCCACATAGCCTTGAGTCTCTGACCACCCACAAACCCCTTCTTAAGCATCCCCTACTTTTAGTGTGAAGGCAAATCAATGTGCAGTAGCTCATTCAACCAATGTTTACTATAAACTTGTGCACATAGGGCCATGAACAAAACCTGCACCTGTGCTCCAAGAGCACAGGTTCTAGTAAGAGACACATAAAAAGATTTATAAAAGAATAAGAACTTGGGGCTGAGGTGGTGGCTCAGTGGTAGAGTGCTTGCTTAGCACATGTGAGGCCCTGGGTTCAATCCTCAGCACCACATAAAAATAAATAAATAAATAAAGGTATTGTGTTCTACAACTAAATTAAAAAAAAAAAAAAAGAATAAGAACTCAGCAAAGGTAAGTACAAAGTACCAAAATGACAAGAAAAAAATAACACTTGTTGAGTGCTAATGAAACCCTACTTTAAATTGTTGCCTCCTTCAATCCACAGAACCACCTACTGGGCTTATTAATATTATCCCCATTTTACACGAAAAGAAAATGAGACACAGGAGGGAAGGTAGTTCATCTTGCCCTTGGTCACACATGTAGGAAGGGACCAGGATGGGGTGAACACCAAGGAGTCTGATTTAAGAGCCCACATTTATAACCACTATGCTACCCTAAATCCCAGAAATATGGAGAGAGTGCAACAAACCCCACCTGGGAACTCCAGAGAGGCAGTAGGGGATCACAACTGAGCTGGGCATTAGAGGATAAGGAGGAGTTCCACAGGCAGCCATGGTGAGGAAGGATGAGTAGGATATGGGACCCATATGTGTACAGGGAAGAAAATACCAGAAGGATACATCTGGGGAATGGTGAGAAGCTGCTGTGGCTGCACACGGGTCATGGTGCGAAGAAGGAAGCTCAAGAGGTGGTTGAGGGCAGGACTTGCAGAGCCCTACAAGTTGTGCAAATGAACTTGGACTTTATCCAGAGGCCAGCACCACTGAGAGGTTTTAAACAGGGGAATGACATCAACAGATGGCTATTTCTGAATGAAATTTTGGAAGCAGGGAGGAAGCTGGATGGACCCAGGGAGAACAGTTGGGAGGCCCTGATAATAAAACAAGAAATAAAGGATACAGGGCTATGAACGAGGGTTGTAGCAGCAGCAGCACATTCCTGCCTGCACTATAAAGACAGCACTTAGGTTTCCCTAGTGCCAGTTTCCTCCAGCAAGTGCTGATTTCAGAAGGAAACAGACAGCACATGAAATAAAGGACAACCTGACTGCAAAAAACAAGTCATTCAGAAGCCCTAACGTGAGTGGTAAAACAGCCTGGGCAGTTGTTTTCAACCAATGTTTACTGTGGAATTCAAGGAACTGAAGCCAAGAAAATAAAGTACAGTACAGCATGTGGGTTGCAGACACCCACCTCCAAGCTGCTCAGACTGCACAGGGTTCCTCTGACACAGTTCTAGATATGAGTGACTCTGGAACAGGGAGGCAAGTGGACAGCAGGAGTGATTTCCAAATCCTGCCCACTGCCTTCACTGCCAGACCAGGAGGACCAGAGACCCTCTTTCTACTTTGTTCTCTCTTCTCTAACTGCTATGGAAACCAGTGAAAAAGGTCCCAGCACAATGAGCCCTGGTGCAGGATGAAGAGGAAACAGGAAAAGATGGTAGATTCCTCCTACACCCATAAGCTAGGTTCGCAATCTCTCAAATTTATGCTGAGACACACAAACAAAAACAAGCATAGACAAAGAAATCAGTGGTTAAATTCTCACTCTCTCTCTCTCTCTCTCAACAGCTAATAAGAAGTTCATTAAAGGGCTGGGGTTGTGGCTCAGTGGTAGAGCACTCACCTAGCATGTGTGAGACCCTGGGTTTAATCCTCAGCACCACATAAAAATAAATAGATAAATAAAGGTATTGTGTCCATCTACAACTTAAAAAAAAAAGTAGTTCATTAAAGAGGGTCCAATTGGTAAATATACTGCAAAAGATAATCAAAAAGAGCTAATTCTTGGTTTAAGATCTTAGACTTAAAAAATGATACTGAAAAAAAGCAGCAGGCTGACTATAAGAACCAAGAGGCTGGGAAGCCCTCCTGTAAGAGTGCTACTGGAACCTGGGCTGATTGTTTTCTGGGGTGGAATTTGTGCTTGGGGGTCAGGTTAGGGGTTTATAACTTTGAGGTAAACAAAGGGAAACTCCTGAAATTGTATAAAATATTTGTATACATACACAAAGGTATTTTGTTTTTTTCTGAAAGGAAGATGGATCATTTAAAATTTTTTTTTTGTTTTTTTTTTAGTTGTACATGGTCTCAATGCCTTTATTTGTTTTTATGTGGTGCTAGGATCAAACCCAGTGCCTCACACTTGCAAGGCAAGTACTCTATCTCTGAGTTACAACTCCAGCCCAAGACAGATCATTTTCACCAGACTCTTAACAGGTTTTCATACTCCACAAAAGATTAGCACTCTGTTTTCTGAACAGTGGGACTTACATGGACTTTTTCTTGCTTCTTTGCATAACTCTGAAATTTTTCATTTTCTACATTAAGCATCTAAAATTTTAATAAGCTGCCCAAAAAAATGACACCATAAAAGAAAAACTAGGGATTTGAATGATAGTTATCTTCTAAGAAAGCTCTCTTAGAGACTGGTATAGGTCACACAGACTTATAGAATCCAATCTTATTGTTTCTTGTGAATCAGCAAAAACAATTACACCAAATTAAGATTTCAGTTTAAACAGGCCCTAAAAATTGGAATAGTTATAGTCACTACTGTGTACCATCCCCTCTACTAAGGGTTCATGCACATTATTTCATTGAATTCTCCCAACAAACCCTGAAGGTGGATGATAATTGCTGCCACTTGACAAATTATAGAACTGGCACTTTAAGATGTATTTGCACGTAGATAGTAGGGAGCAGGGCTGGGATTGGAAGTTGGGCCTAACTCTGTATCCTGAGTCATTTCTAATAACCCCTCTATAATTTAAATATGACCCTAACCATGACCTTAATAAACATATTCCCAAATTCAAAGCATCGTTCCAAATTCTGGAGACAAGGTAGCACTTAATATATTTCAATCAAGAACCTAAAGGGCCAGGACCTTGCCAGGCTTATCAGTAAAGATATCTTCAACATGTAATGAAGTGTTTGGCATAAAATAAGCACTCAGAAAATTATTGTTGGAGTCAGAGGAAAAAAAAGTAAGAAGGGAGGTTTTCTCTTGACATCTCAAGTCCATGGGCTTCAATACCTCCTGAGGGGTAGAAACCATCAAGGGCTTGATCATTTTTGCTTCTTCACCCACATCTAACAGTTTGACAAAATATTTCTAGAAAAGAGAACATGCATTCCATAAGTGTTTTTCCATCTCTAACGTTAATACAAGAGCCCTGCTCTGCTAGTTCTTCACAAGGGGCCCTAGCAGCTATCTCAGGATCTGAACTTTCAAAGATGTACATCAGCTGCATATCCTTTTAGCACTTGCCATCTTCCACTTATTGTATGTAAATATACATGTTCTCTAAATCATTTTCTCCAAACAGAACAAGATCCACTCAGGGTAAGACTGGTTCATTCATTCAGCAAGCATATATCAAATGTGCCTCCGTGAGCTAAGCACTATGCTAGGCCCAGAGGACACAAAGATGACCAAGTCCTCACCCTGCCCTCATGAACCTGTCTAGCAGAGAAGAGACAAGTACTCAACAACTACAAAGAGTGTCAAATGCAAGAATAGGAGATTCTGCTTGAAAAGTTCTTCAGTAAGGGATTCCTGCATCCTAAAGCTGTGTGCAAAGTGATAAGCACACGGGAGCACATGCCTGCTTTTCTAGGGAGAATCCATTGTTCTCATTGGATTGATTCACAGTGGTTAAGAACAACTGCTCTGGAGGAGTGACAATTATTCAGGAGAGAAGTGAGAATGAGGGAAAAGCACTCCTAAGAGAATAGTATATGGAAAGGTCTGGAAGTAAGAAAGAACAAGGCCTGCTGGGAGCCATAAGAAGTTCAGTTTAGCTGGAGCACAGCTTGCAAAAGGAGGGAGAGTGAAACAAAGCTGGAGACAGAAGCAGGGTCTGGACCAACTGAGGGTCCTGCAGCCCATGCTAAGGAGTTCAGACTTCATCTCAAAGGTAACTGGAAGCCCCTGACAGGTTTTAGGAGGTGAGGGATACATCAGATTGCTATTTGAGGGAGACTACTATAACTACATGTGGAAAATGAGTTGGGATGGACAAACAGAAATGGAAGCAGGTTAAACAACTGGAAGACTGTGGAAGAATATCAAGTAGAAGATGCTATGGCCTGGTCTAAGGGACAGTGTCTTAAATTTCTTTAAATTCTTGGACCCTACCTTAGGGTCCTCTAAGAACCAAAGAGATCCCAGGAGAGCAAATAATTCCACACCTATCAAGATGAATGCTACAGTCATGTATAACTAAAAAGAACCAATTAAAAAAATTCCACACCTCTATCAGGTACAAGTGTTCAAGTCTTAATCCTAGATCCTAGCAAGCATACCATGTGTACAACTGAGATCTTTATAGGTGAAAATTTGCCAAAGAGGAGCAAGAAGGAAGAGGCTCAACTTGAGGAGTAAAAGGAAAAAATATTTTACCATCACAGAAAATTCAAAAAATCTAGAGGAAAAAAAATCACTGACTCATCATCTAGGTCACTGGTATAAACTCAATGCTATTATTAAATAAATGAAGCCCTGAGAATGGGAAAACAATGGTAGATTGGCTGGCAGGTCTCTCTAAAGAACCAAAGCTAAGCCACCAGCCCCCCTACAAAACTGGATGTCCTCAAAGAGAAGAAAAAGGTGCACTCAAGAGTTCTTACA